TAAGGTAATCTAATGAAGCCTGTTATGGGCAGCTGTAAGTCTCAAGCCCTGAAGAAACGAACCAGACAGTCAACCCATGGTATAGGGTTTAGGGTTTTTAACGCTAAACACTAAGCCCTCACCACCTGCTTTTTTGGACAGATACCTCTGCTTGACTGGTCTACCTGAGGAAGTGTCGGGCATCGCTTCCTTTGCTTTTCGTGCCCCTTGCGAGACTGTCAATTATCACACCCGACAATACCCGTATTCCTCCCTTCTTTCATTCGGAGGCTGCCCATTCCAGCTGAAAAGCAGGACATGTATTGGTTTACAGAAGGCCTCTACCCAAAACCTCACCAGCCCGAGCTCCACGGACTCCAGCTTGCGTGCCGAGAAAGTGGAGAAGGCGGCATTTAAGAATGCTGGCGGCTCCGACGACGACGAGCTGAAGAAGAGCCCTGGCAACCCCATTGCTTGTAGGGTTCATTGCGACTCGGTGGTACCTGTAGCCGGAAAGACATACCTGGTTAAAGATCTATATATAGAAACCAGAATAAGGAACCCGAAAAAGGTAGGTCTTTTCGGCTGCAGGTAAGCATGAGGTGTAAAGACGATTGCAGTTGGTAGGGATTTTGGCTCCAAGGCAATGGATGTTAGGAGTTTGTAGCCGAAGGCTCAATATCCGAGATCACGCAAGACTTGCCTTGCAAGCTCCTGATCTTCATGCGCCCCAAATGGGGTTTAGGGTTTATAGTTTATGGGGCTTTTTAAGGCTTATTAGCGCTTATAGGGCTTTTAGGGTTTAGGGTTTAGGGTTTGTAAGCTTTTGGGGCTTTTAGGGTTTAGGGTGCAGGGTTGAACACTTTAAGGCTTGAGGCTTGTCTCACGGGCATGAAATCACCAAACAGCAGCTGCCGGACATGAGAGTACGAACTGCAGCAGTGGTGCAACATATCCCAGCGAATTTTCTTCGCAATTGCTCACTGACTGGGCACATACGGAAAGTTTAACCGTAGCCCTAAACCCCAAAACCCGAAACCCCTAAACTAAACCCTATAAACCCTAAACCCGAAACCCTGGTTTTGGTGTGTTTGCCGTCAGCTGCGTCTGCTCGACACGCCCTCAGCCCTAAATCGCCTGCAGTTACAAGGTCGATCCACTGATGGTTTAGGGTTTTAGGGTTTGGGGTTTAGGGTTTAGGGTTTTAGGGCTTGGGGTTTAGGGTTTAGGGTTTAGGGGTTTTAGGGTTTGGGGTTTTAGGGTTTAGGGTTTAGGGTTTACCATTGATTGATGCTAAGCCCTAGAAGCCCTGACGCCTTAAGCCTTAAAGCTGTACTCCAACCCTGATTATTGATTATGAACCCTAGACCCTCAAAAAAACCCTAAAACCCTCATTAGAAACTATAAAGTGCAGAACAGGCCTAAGCCCTAATTATGAGCCCGGAACTCTAGAAACAGCAATAAAACCCTAAGCCCTGAGTTTGCCTGTGCTCTTATGTTTGCGCTAGAGGAGCCTCGAACAAGTGCAGGCCATGAAGACGGAGGCGGCGGTTTCAGGGTTTAGAGGTGATGTTTAGGGGTTCGGGGCTTCGGCTGTTTCAGCTGAAAAATCTCTGCCCCCGATTTCGGGTTTAGGGTGTGGGGTGTATGATCTTTCAGGACTTTGGGCTCAGGGTGACGGGTTTAGTCTGTTTCAGACCTCGGCCTTTCCGGCTTACATGTCCTAGCCTGCTCTGGTTTGGTAGGGTGGGCTGGGTTGCTCCATGGGTAGTTTTAAGTTATAAGTGGGATTATTATAATATTGGTAGGATAGCTACGTTTGTAACCCTTCATCAGGGGACTTATAACCCTACTTGTAACTAATATAGGGGCCTTAACTATTTTGGGGGTTCCTTCTTATTATGATTATGGTATGAAATACCCCCGAAAGCCTATTCTAACTATTAAGGCCCCTACATTACCAATGAACCTCAAGTAGGCCCAGAGCAGGCAGTGTGGAGCAGGAGCTTGAGTGTGGAACATGCCACGTCTAATCGTTATTGGGCGGTGGCGGGGGGGAGGGGGGGGGGGTCCGCAAATAAGGGGTACCTTGTGTCGGGGTCCTTATAAATCCCACTATTTAGGGCACTATATTAGGGTCCCCTATTTTCGGAAGCCCCCTGATAGCTTTGTAGCGTAAGCCTTAAGCCGAAGCGATGTTATCGCAAAACACAAGAATGGCACGTGCTCCTGGAATTCACAGCCTGGATTGCCAGCATAGAAATCACAGAAGTCGGGCTTTGCAGATTTTTATATGGATTACGAAGCTTCGGACGGATAGGGTTCGCATGAGGTCGCACCTCCTCTGTAGATTACACAACAGGCTCTGCAATAAGACTTAAAGCAAGTGAGGGTTCATTGTCATAGGGCTTGTACACACGACTAAGGGCTTTCATTCTACAGTCCTCGAATTTGGGGTGTTTTGGTTTCGACGGGGGTCATCGATGTATTATTTCGGGCCACCTAGAATGCGGGTCGGCCTGTTTGGTAAAGTTGACGTAGATTCTAGATTGTGAACAAGACCTCTGTGCACAAGATGGCCGAGTGTTGTACCGATATTCGTTCCGCTCAACTCAAAACCTCAAAACGGTTTAGGGTAGAGGGTTTAGGGTTTAGGGTAAAAGCCTAGAGCCTGAAGCTAAACCGTTGGGAAAGATGGGCCCCAGAGCACTGCCTTGAATGCTGATGTTTTGCAATGGCCCTACACCCTGAACCCTGCTGAACTCTAAACATGAACCTGAAAATCGCGCGGCACCTAAAGCTAGGGTTTTCGATTTGGGGTTTCGGGCTTCGGGACCTCGAGTATAGGTCGAGCTAGGGTTTAGGGTTTAGGGTTTAGGTCGAGCTAGGATGCCATATTGGTGCATGGATGCTCTGATACATGCAAGGTCTGTCGAACTCGGGATTACATTCACGGTTCCCAAGCTGAACCAGTACGGGGGCTTGAATCATTCGTACTCATATCCCCTTACAGTCCGCAACTAGAAGAAAACAATTACAAAAATGCCGGAAACCTTCTTGGAACCATTCTTGGCCCATAAGCTATCTGAGCAGCCTTTCTCCATAGACATAGACCCTAAACCCTAAACCTAAACCCTAAACCCATACCCTAAACCCTAAACCCTAAACCCTAAACCCTAAACCCTAAACCCTAAACCCTAAACCTAAACCCGACCTGGCAGTGCAGGTTTCAGCATACCCTTCTCCCGCACCGGCACCGGCTCCCCCGCAACCTGACCCAGTGCCTTGGTCCGGGAGGAAGATCATGTTCCCATTTTGAACCCTAAACCCTAAACCCTAAACCCTAATAGGGGCCTATAAATAATTGCCAATCATATTTTGGGGGTTCCTTGTTGTAATTATAGTATTATACCCCCAAACCCTATTCAAATTATTATGGCCCCTATATTACTATAACATGACTCAAGAAAACCGCAGAGTGTGCCTCGCAGCCCTCTTCTACGTGTTGTTCAGATCTGTCTGACCTCCAAATGCCAAGCAGTCTAGGGGTTTGGGGTTTAGGGAAGTTTAGGGGTTTAGGTGGTAGGGTTCGGGGTTGCGGGTTAAGGGTTGGGCAAGGTTGAATTTATAGGGCTTAGGGGCATTGGGTTTTGACGGCTGCTGAGGTGTTTCGTCATGAACACCGTTTGAGGTTGGGATCTAACTTGGTGGGTTCCAGGATTTGCGGTCTTGTTAGGTGAAACGGAGTATCTTGGTTTACCTTAAGAACCCAAAACCCCACTTTTTTGTAGGTTCTTATTATAAACCCTAATATGGGATGTATAGGGACCCTACAAAAAAAGTAGGTTTTGGGTTCTTAAGGTAGGGCTTATAGCGCTGAGGGTCTTTGAGAGCTTCTGGGCTGGGCTCGAAGCAAAAGTGCCGGCAAGCCAAAACGGCTGCACAAAGAAGCCTCTGCTAGACATGCTGCCGCTTTGGTACGAAGGCCAATCAAACTGTTCATGATAGTCTTATAACCCTAAACCCTAAACCTTATGTCTTGTGTAGTAGCTGCAACGTCAGCGCAGCGGCGCAGAATGATGCGCACGCTGAGACTCTCCAGCCACCCTATACCCTAAACCCTATACCCTAAACCCTGTACCCTAAACCCTATACCCTATACCCTAAACCCTATAAACCCCAAACCCTATACCCTAAACCCTAAACCCTATACCCTAAACCCTAAACCCTAAACCTAAACCCTAAACCCTAAACCCTAAACCCTAAACCCAAGGCTACCGGGCTCAAAGATTCGGCTATCCTGACCCCCGAAGATGGCAGACCTGCCTTTCTTGCATGTGAAGACTTGCGGTTTAGGGTTTTAGGCTGTAGGGCTGAGGGAGTTTAGGGAGTTTTAGGGTTTGGGGAGTTTAGGGTTTAGGGAGTTTAGGGTTTCAGATAGCCCTTACGTAGCTTGTAGCCGTTTTATCACGGGCAAGGAGCAGGAAAAGCATGCGGCTCCCGTTTTGCACAGCACAGGACACCCCTTCTCATGACCGGCGCCCAATACTGGTGTAAACCCCAACTATAGCATGAAGTGGGAAACGTCGGATGAGTTTCGTCTTTCCGTTCTTTACAGACATACAGGTCAGTATGTAAACTCTTTCAAGCCTTAACATGATACAGGACATTGCCAAACAGACGCCCTGACCCGAACGACGCGAAACTCTAAACTTTGCTTCCTGAACCACATAGTCCCGAAACGCAACTGGCAGAACACGAAGCTCAAATCGCAAGTTTGGACCCTACACAGAATAATCGTGATACTCATAAAGAATCGCAAGATCGAAATATAGTAAGAGGGAGAAGAATAGCTGCTCAGCTAGTCCTGATGGAACCAGGCTCTGCAGAAGCAGATTGCCGAACTGCAGGAAAGCCTACGTGCATCTCAGGCACACTGCCGGCCCCTCAGAGATGCTTTAGGGTTCAGGGTTTCGGGCTGCTGGCTTCAGCTGCAAGATGTAGGGCCCAGACAGGGGCTCGTAGGTGCAGGAAGACGACATTGCATGTCTGCGGGAACTAGATGGTGAATGAAATTATAAAACCCCCTAGCCGGAGAAGTTTGGCCTCTTGGACTTTGTAATGACTGTTGGGATAGTTGCGCGTGCAATCATCGATGACGACGGCGACGCCTACTAAAAACTACTACTACCACCGCCACTCCTGCTACTACTACCACTTCTGATGCTGCTAATACTGCTGGTGTTGCAGCTGCTACTACTGCTACTGCTCTTAGTACCACTACTAGCACTATCTACTACTATCTACAACTAACTACTACTACTACTACTACTACTACTACTACTACTACTACTACTTCTACTACCACTGCCACT